TGTGGTATGTGGAGAGAGGAGGTGGTATGTGGAGGAGGGAGGGAGGTGGTATGTGGAGGGAGTGAGGGGGTGGTATGGGAGGGAGAGGAGAGGGGTATGTGGAGAGAGGGAGAGGTGGTATGTGGAGGGAGGGAGGGAGAGGTCATTTTGGCCACTAACTACTCTGCAATCGAATCATGGACAACATATTTATAATCAGCAAGCTCAGGAGTACCCATACTGTGATTTTCAGCAAAATCTAATTTTTGGCCAAAAACCACCAAAAATGTAAGTCTGTGGAATAGTACGTGATATCAGGATGGGAAGGAGAAAGGAAACTCACAATGTGCTCTTTATATACATATTGTATTAGATGTACAGTGCAGCTTGGTGCTGGGAAGTGGCAGCGTGGTTACAAGCGTGATGTAGAGAGAGCTGGTTGGTGAGAGTGCTCAGAGGTGGACCAGCTTGTGGGTCGCCATGCTCGCCGGCGGGAGCAGGGGCCGCCAGGCAGGCATAGGAGGAGGAGGTGTTGCTTGCTGGTTGGTGTAGGTAGAAAGAGATAGGTTACCACGAGGTCAGGTCTTATATAGCGGACGTAGGCGTGGCTTATAGTTGACCTCCGTCATGTAAGGCGGCGCTGGTTGACCTTGACCACGAGTTACACTGGGGAATTCGCGGGTCGGCTACTCAGCGACAAACAGCATTTGTAGGGGAGGATCCTACAATACTCCTCCCCCCAGGCGGTGTAGGGGACTTGTTGTCTGCAGGGTTGCATGGCACATGTAGGCAGAACGGGCGGCGCCCATATGTTGAGCCATAACGTCGAGGCGTGTATAAGCCGGCCGCTAGTGGAGACAACTTTGTCTAGATACACGAGATCTGTGGGAGGAGAGAGGGAGAAGGAGGATTGTGGAGGCGATGGATGTTGTGCTTCCCTCGCGGCAGGTACAGAGTCCTCAGATGTGCCTGCTGGGGTGTGTGGGTCTGGGTCAGGAGCAGGGGCTGCGTCGGGAAGAGGTCCATGACAGCAGCAGGGTGCATGACAGCAGCAGGATCCACGACAGCAGCAGGGTGCAGGACAGTAGCAGAGAGTACCTGAGTGAAAAAAAGGGTGTGTGGGGCCGCACTCAGGCGCATGGGCCGCGTCGGGAGCAGATGGTGCTGCTGGGCCGGGGCGCATCTGAGGCAGGACAGGTGTGCTGGGGTCGATAGGACGTGGTGCTTGGGACAGGAAGAGAAGCTGGTGTCTGCTTAGAGAAGCAGTGCTGCTCTAGGGTGTCTAACCTGCGGTGTAGAGACAGTAGCTGTAGAGCCGATGAGAGCTGCCTCTGTGTGGATAAGCCAGTCTTCCATGTTGCTTGAAGACTGGGAGGTGATCGGTTTCTCCTCCATCCTGTGTAGTGCGAATCTCGGGGTCACCATTTGTGGGGTTGTGAGATGGTTCACTCTCAGGATGGGATGGAGAAAAACTCTAATGTGCTCTCTGTATACATATTGTATTGATGTCCAGTGCAGCGGTGCTGGGAAGTGGCGTGGTTACAAGCGTGATGTAGGTGAGCTGGTTGGTGAGGGTGCTCAGAGGTGGACCAGCTTGTGGGTCGCCATGCTCGCCGGCGGGAGCGAGGGCCGCCAGGCAGGAGGAGGAGGAGGAGGTGTTGCTTGCTGGTTGGTGTAGGTAGAAAGAGGCAGGTCACCACGAGGTCAGGTCTTATATAGCGGAGGTAGGCGTAGCTTAATAGTTGACCTCCATCATATAAGGCAGCGCTGGTTGACCTAGACCACGAGGCATACACTGGGGAATTCGTGGGGTCGGCTACTCAGCGACAAACAGCGTTTGTAGGGGAGGAATCTACTACAAGTCTTATATCTTACAAATTTTTTGACCAAAATATACATTTTTCTCAGAATTGAAATTTAAGGAGTTTAACTAATTAAGTACACCTTGGAAACCCATAGTTGATGAGTAATTGGCATTGAAAAATGTCAGTAAAATTATTCAAGGGTCATTTTGGCCACTAACTACTCTGCAATCGAATCGTGGACCACATATTCATAAGCAGCAAGCTCAGGAGTACCCATACTGTGATTTTCAACAAATTCTAATTTTTGGCCCAAAACCACCAAAAATGTAAGTCTTACACCAGTGGTGTCAAACTCAAAACCTTTCGAGGGCCAATTCTTATTTTAGTTACCCTCATCAGGGCCAACACAAGTGCTACATCACATATTTGCAGGATTGAAGTTTACAGCTTCACACATTGCCTTACCTGGCTTACTAGGAATACCTCATTTGGATTTGTCTGATATTAAGTATGAAAAATTCATTTTACTAAATAAACATTTTTATATCTATTTTTTTTCATAATTTCACAGGATGATAAATTTTACCATCATCCAGCAGGCCACACCTGACTATCCCAAGGGCCACATTTGGCCCACGGGCCATGACTTTGACACCCGTGGTATAGACGTTTTAGGCTGGATTACCCAAGATTATTTCGCCTGATGAACAAACACTCGGAACACTATCTGGGGGGTTATGTTATGTTTTTATCTTATGTGATGTTATGTTTCTTTATTTCTTGTGTAAGTTGTTGTGTTGTAAGCATTAAGGTGGTTTAATCATCAGGCAAAATAAGCTGGGGTGCCTAATCCTCAGGTGAACTCTTAAATTTACATTAACCTGTATTGCATTGTTTTATGTATTTCATTGTGAATACTGTACCATAAACCTGATGTGATATTAGAGGTTAATGTATAACTAAAGGAATTATACAACGTCTCAGAAAAATGTATATACTGTACACACTGCAATACAGATTTACGTGAAGACCGGATGAATGTTTGTATTACACCAGCAACATTGTCCTCACTTGTGGGAGACCTCACACATCAACAAGGACAATGTTGGTATCATATTACAAACATTCATGCAATCTCCATGAAAATCTGTAAGGCAGTGTGGATATACTTCTCTGAGACACCGTATACGTACATGTCTATGTCCGTCTTATGTCAGGGTCGTGTCTGAGGTGTTATGGCTGTACGGGCCATGACCCGTCTCGGCCCTACCACAAGATCACCAACAACCCAGCTTGTGTCAGTGGAGACTTTGACAGCTCTGAAGTACAGGTCTACCTCCACTATGGCAACTATGCATGCTTCGCCCTTACCTACACTGTGGGTAAGTGCATGAGGTTACCTGTACTGTATTGATGGTAGGTCATGAGGTTACCTGTACTGTATTGATGGTAGGTCATGAGGTTACCTGTACTGTATTCATGGTAGGTCTTGAGGTTACCTGTACTGTATTCATGGTAGGTCATGAGGTTACCTGTACTGTATTGATGGTAGGTCTTGAGGTTACCTGTACTGTATTGATGGTAGGTCATGAGGTTACCTGTACTGTATTGATGGTAGGTCTTGAGGTTACCTGTACTGTATTGATGGTAGGTCATGAGGTTACCTGTACTGTATTGATGGTAGGTCATGAGGTTACCTGTACTGTATTGATGGTAGGTCTTGAGGTTACCTGTACTGTATTGTGTGTTAATATTGAGAGAATCATGTCTTAGTGCCAAGTAGACTTAAGTGTGGGTTGAGTTAATTTAGGAGAGGAAAGTTTTGATTCTATTTTGTTTATTAAACTTGACAAATCTTGATGAAGTCTTTGTTATAGTTTACCTCATCAACATTCCACGAATATAATTTACGTATTTAATCCATTCAGGGAACACCTTTTATTACAGTACCTTTTATTACAGTAGTCTGTCTCAACCTTGGCTGTACACTTCATGCTTTATGGTGAGAGAGGATGAGTGAGATTGACGAAGAATCAAAGTAATATGCATAATTAAGAGTGAGACAGATTAAGTAAGCAGAGATAGATAATGAGAAAAAAAAGAGAGATAAAAAAGGTTCAAAAGTTACTTCTCATTAGAATTTAAGCCTCTTCTTCCCCAGACAATGAGAAGATGACGCAGCGTTACATGATCCCTACAGACAGTCCGGCGGGAAGGGCAGAAGCACAAGACGAGGCAGAAACAAGACTCTCTCGTTGGGGGTCGACGAAGACCTGGGTGGAGGGTTACTACTGCCAGACCGACCTGTGTAACTATGCTGATGCCAGGTCCTCCTCCTTCACCACCTTCGTCAGTCTCGCCTTCTTGTTCCCACTTTTTACCTGTATGCTCTAAACACACTTAACATATTGAAAAGTATTTGGAAATTCATGTGTTAAGAAATAGATTGTGTCTGTAAATTCTTGGCATTTACCAAGTCTAAGTAAAACCTGTTCCAAATAAGTATTTTTTCCATTATACTTAGTGTCCCTCAGTTCTTGTGGTTTAAGATTCCTTGTATGCTATCCTACAAGACTTTGAAGCCACTATCAAGTTTCAAACAATTCTGATTTGTTTTCACATTCTGCACTATGATAAGTTTATATAATGATCTGCAAATTATGTCATATATTCATTAAATATCTGAAATACTTTGTTAATTATGTTAATATTCAGTAATTCTCTGATAGTGTATACAGTGTTCCAGATTCCCCAAAAGACTCATCTGCAAATAAAGTGTTAAATTGTACAAGTATTTTAGACTTAATGCCCCATTATAGTTTTCTTGAAGGAGTGAGGTACCTACCATAACAATACTGAGAGGGAGGTAGGTAGGTAGGGGAAAGGTGTTCAAATATGAGAACTGGGACAATATGTACAGATGATGCCACAGCCTTATGAAGACTTCCTGCTAAGAACAAAGAGATAAAGAGGTACTGTATAGGCAAGCAAACATCTCACCTGATGATTAGCTCCTCGAGCTTATTTCACCTGATGATTAAACATCCTAACACTAACCTCATCCCCCTAGAGTCTAGACAGTGTTAGTGTTTAATCATCACTTGAAATAAACTTGAGTGCCTAATTTTCAAATGATTCAAATAAACAAAATTATAGTAACAAACTACCTTGATGCATATGATGGACTCGCTGCTGGGAAAAGGGATATACCTTAAATAATAAAATAAATCTTTAATGCACAAAATTAGGAATGTTGACTTCTGTATACAGTAACTGTTTCCTCACAACCTTCCATCTTCATTTAACGTCAATATCCATACAAGATTTTTATGATTCCTCCTGACTCAACCTTAGTACCGTGTGTATAATATTATCAACACAAAACGTATTTCAATACATACAGAGGTTGATTTAGGACTCGGAGGCACCATGATGGACTTTTAGACTTCATCTGACTTGCTGACTTCCCCTCATAGACTTCTTGACTTCACAGGTTGACTCCCTCACATCAAAGGTTAACTCCCTCACTTCAAAGGCTGACTCTCTCACTTCACAGGTTTCCTCCTTCACTTCACTCGTGGACTCCGTGGCATCGCTGACCTAACGTCTGATTCATGCAGTTCACTCGTTGACTCCTCGGACCTACTCGGACTGTCTACCATTTTAGAACCATTGCTCGATGTGTCTACTCTGTTTGATCCTTCTGATGTGTCTTTTAACCTTTTACTTCTACTCATTGACCTTTTTGATCTACTCCTTGACCTCTTTGACTGACTCCTTGACATTTTGGATCTACTTCTTGACTTTGACTTACTTCTTGACCTTTTGGATCTACTTCTTGAGCCTTTAGATCTACTCCTTGAACTTTTAGACCTACTTCTTGACCTTTTGGATCTACTTCTTGACCTCTTGGATCTACTCCTTGAACTTTTAGACCTACTTCTTGAGCCTTTAGATCTACTTCTTGACCTTGAGCTTCGAGAACTCCTCACTGAACCCCTCCTGCTGCTGGCCTTGGTGCTCCTTTCTGAGTGTGTTCTGAGGAGGAAGGAGACACATCAACACAGAACCTCAGCAGAAATAAGGTTGTCATGTTAGGTGTGTCAGTCAGTGAGTTTAAAGTATTGAATTGTATTGATGAAGTAGGAAAGAGACTGTTAAAAGGAAGGGTGGAAAAATGGCTGTAAAATGATGATAGTGATCAGTGGTAGTGATTGATGATGAAGATGGGGAGTGATGATGATAATGATGTAAGTATATATGTATGTATGTGAATGTATGTATGTATGTATGTATGTATGCATGTATGTACAGTATGTACTGTATGTATATATGTACATACTTGAGATCTTATTGAAGTATTAGTTACTCTAACTATGGAAGGTTAGGTTATACAAACCTGAGAGAATGTTTTGGTGTCTGAGAGTTCCTTGGATACTCAAGTGGCTGCCTGTCCTGGTCAGTGCGCCAGAAGGCATTACCCGGGTTGTGGTAAGCATGAAGGAAGTTACACTGTCCCCCTTTAGGGCACTGTTGGCGCCAGTACAGTCCTGAAATTATATAAACAAAAGGCTTCAGTGTAGCCACGAAGAAATTATTCAGATCCCCTGAAGATTTGCCCCCAGCCCCAGCTTATTTCGCCTGATTAAACATTCTTACGTTATTTGGGGCCGGATTACATTAACTTAAGTTAGTTTAAATTACAAGAGCATTAGGATAGGTTAAAATACAGTGGATTAGTGTCAGATTAGGAAAAGTTTGTGTTAGATTAGGTTAAGTTATTGTTACTGTAGATGATGTTAGGTTAGGTTAAAATACAGTGGATTAGTGTCAGATTAGGAAAAGTTTGTGTTAAATTAGGTTAAGTTATTGTTACTGTAGATAATGTTAGGTTAGGTTAGATTAGATTAGGTGGTTAATCTACAAGTGAAATAAACTGAGGTTTCTTATCTTCCTGTGATCCAAACTTTGTAACCTAACAAGTTTTTTGCTACCTGCTGAAATTAATAACAAAATATAGATAAAGATATTAAATTAATATCTAATAATTAAATTTCCCCATTAACATGAATATATTATTGAAATGCTTTATATTGTTTTCTGCTTCAAATGCATACATAATAAAAAAAAAATACAGTATATAGATTAACATGACTACAGTATATTATCCAAGTGTAAATCTTAGGGATCCATCTGCCCCAGTAAGATTAACCACTTGTGTCTTGGGTCCTCTCGCTGCTGAATAAAATCATCCGCCGTTAAGCAATTAAAATATTAAAAGTGGCGCCCCCCATAGTGAAAGGGTTAACTTAATTCATAAGGAGCATGGAAAAATGACTGATAGAATCTTTAAAATTTTTAGTAAGACATCTCATACTGACCACACAGAGCAGACTTCCACCGCTCTATCGTCACAAACAGACAAGTCAGCTGACGACCCGCGTACCATCGTCCATTAAACATAGTTCTTGCTCTCACGGCGTCTTCCTCTTTCGTGTATTGTACGTACACATTCCCACGCAGATGAGGACTTGTGTTGGCACAAACTTTGAACTGAATTACGTTCCCACAATGCTGGAATTCCGGCAATGTGTCTTCGAAGAAATCCCTATTGAACAAGATAAAGGAAAACCTGTACAGTTTTATATCGCTGTCTTTCTGTATTTACAAATTAGCAAAACTCAAACTTGTCATATAACTCTACAAAAGTTATGACCCGGGAAAGATGATATAATATGTCTCTCTCTTCCCTATCATAGACTGTCTCTTGGTCTCTCAAATCTCTAAGTAATGTTACAAATATCACCAGTTTCATTTACAAAAATAGCCAGTAATGTATTTCCTTAACAAGATAAACTACACAAAAATTAGCAAATGCTCTTAAGATGTAAACATAAACATACTACATACATTAAATATTATTCACTTGTAATAAAACCTATACAATGAATAACAATATCTTGAGATGAAAACATGAATAGGCCATGTACATTATACAAGACTTCACCTTGGTCAACGTACCTAAAATTTTCATATGTTTCTGAGTCAGTGTACTCCAGGGCGATGTCAGCGTCATTACCATCAATAGCCATCTGCTCCATCCCGAAGTTAGTGTACATGTTGGGCAGTAAGATGGTCTGGCTGCTCTCTGGGTAGTCGTGCTCTCTGGAAAGGTTAATTGGGGTGAAACCAGACCAGTACTATTGATATTTAATAACACCATTATAATTTATAAGTCAAAAGGGGAGCTATCATAGTTAATAAAGATGGAGAATAATGCTTACAGGCATCCCTAGATTTATGAAAGGGTTTTGTTCCTGAAAAATAATTTGTATATTGATCCTTTCCTGAGGTGCTGAAGAGAAGTGACATATCATATACAGTAGATGGACTGACTAACAGGTGGGTGGGGGTTATACTATAAGCCTTTCATCTTCAACGGTGGCGACAAAATCTTTGACGCTATAGGTAGTGAAAAATCATACTGCAGAGAATTCCACAAAGCTGTAACTCGTGGTAATTATGATGGAAAATACTAACTGTGAATATCATCTGAGCTCCTGTAGTCTCACAAACATACAAACACACACGACTGACATTTCTATACAGGCAATCCCTGATTTACGAAGATCCCGTCAACAAAAATCTGAAGTTACGAAAAAAACATTTGCCCAGGTGTCGAATTATCCAAGAAAAGTCCTAAGTTATGAAAAAATGTTGTCTCTGTAATGACCAGGACAGAAGACACTACAGTACTGCATGTGTGTTCCATCAACTTGTCTGCTTCATACTGGCTTATAGTGTAGTATTGTACAGTACAGTACAGTATAGTAGAGTACAGCACAGTACAGTACAGCACAGTACAGTACAGTACAGTACAGCACAGTATAGTACAGTACAGTACAGTATAGTAGAGTACAGCACAGTACAGCACAGTACAGTATAGTATAGTATAGTACAGTACAGTACAGTACAGTACAGTACAGTACAGTATAGTATAGTACAGTACAGTACAGTACAGTACAGCACAGTACAGCACAGTACAGCACAGTATAGTACAGTACAGTACAGTACAGTACAGTACAGTACAGCACAGTACAGTACAGTATAGTAGAGTACAGCACAGTACAGTACAGCACAGTATAGTACAGTACAGTATAGTAGAGTACAGCACAGTACAGCACAGTATAGTATAGTACAGTACAGTACAGTACAGTACAGTACAGTACAGTACCGTACAGTATAGTACAGCACAGTACAGTACAGCACAGTACAGTACAGTACAGTACAGCACAGCACAGTACAGTACAGTACAGTACAGCACAGTACAGTACAGTACAGTACACACCAGTGACAACAACAGCCCATCTGTCTATCCATCACTCACAACACGTCATCCACACAGAGACGTCACATCAATCACTTCCAAAACATCTACAATCACCACACAATCCTGCCCACTTACACGTTCCAACAACACTCGTTCACACTTTCCAATTTTGTCCAATTTGCTGTTGATTTGCACCAACTACAAATTTCTTCCTCATATAAAAGATAAATTAAATTCTGTCTCTAAACCTGTTATGGACCTTAGTAGCAAAATGTGACATCAAACACATTTGAGTCTCCTATCTGGATCACAATTTGAATATTCCTGAATCAATGGCAACACCAAAGGATACACTCACACTGCTGGCTCACAAAGTTACCTCGAGCACTGGAGACCAAAGCGACAGGCTCCAGTCTTGGTAAAAAAAGGACAAGGTTCTCCTTTCTTATAAGTTAAATCCTTCCTGGTGAAGCCTGGTGGTGGCTCTGGGTTGTGTGTTACCTCATCCTCCCCCTAGAAGATTAAAACACAGGTAGAATTCATATACGTAATTACATTAATAATACATGATATACATAATAAAAATCTATCCATACAAATATGCATCCTATCCATTAGCATCAAGCTGTTTCATACATTCACAGTACAATCTTAGTCTCATACATCACCTTAGTCTCCACAGTTTCTCAGCAAACTTAACCAACATGTGAACATGGACACTTACTCGGACACCAAGAGAAGAAGAATATCTCTCCCATTATTTTCTTGAGGTGAGCTCATAATGTCAAGTTACAACATACCACATATTCATCCATATCTGCTGCTCTAGTGTCATCAATTTACACCCTCAGTCTCTCTCTCTCTTAGGGTCTGTGCGAGGTGTACTCTCACTCCCAAATGTATCTCTATAAATTTATATGAGACAATATGACACAACGGACGAAGGATTTTGATAACCCTACTTTCTGGAGTGACTGTACATCCAGGCTTGTTTCTTAAACTTTTCGACATAATAATTCTTTTCCGCCTAATTTCTTATCCAACATTTAACAGAAGCATAATCTGAGATCTACTGAAGATTATGACACCACAAAGGCTGAATACCATATGATAAATTGGATCTCTTTCACTGTTACAATGGATAAATACTGCTAAACTTCTGATGCTGGGGGACTTTGGACAGCAGAGAGGGAGGCAGACTGTGGTGCACCAGCTGATAAGTGACACGTACACTGGCTGCTGCTGTTATAAATACAGTATTTACTCTACGACTGCTGACTTGTATACACTGTATATATAGACCAAGATAATACACATAATATAAACTTTCTTCCTAATCACAGTCATACACAGACCTTCAAGAGCTACGAGTATTAACAGACTAATAATACAAAGAACACACTTAAGCTTCACTCTATACAGTTCTTATTATCTTCACTGATATACAACATTAGATTTTATACAGTAATATATTAGTGATCAAAATGTATACCTGAAGAATAATGAAAGAATAAGTTTAATAACACAAGATGGGATATACCATCATCACTAACCTCTCTCAGGTTCCCAGTAGCAGCTTGTAGCAGGGCAGTCTGTTTGGGTGGATATGGCCAAGCAATTGGTTACTAAGCTGTAACACTTGAGTTAAGGCAAAATGAGGGATAAATACATAAACAATATTGCTCTAACCACTGCATACTTATATCTTGGCCAAAATCTTACTAATATAAATGTCTACTGTAAAAGAAAGTGAAACTGTAAATCTAATGAGCCATTCCCACACCAAAAGCAGAGGAGACAGAAGCTCCCACAAACACTGTAACTGTGGCTACTGGTGTACTGACAAGAGAGATAACTAAATACCTACTTCTCTAAGGAGAAAAGTATGTCAATCTGGATGAGGCAGAAACATCATCATGCACTTAAGCTCTTTGGTAAAAATAAGCCAGAAAATGGAGCTAAAGCTATGAGGGAAGTAAACCTTTCACGTATCCGTTGAGACATTGTTACATAACTATTTGACAAATTTCATAACCGAATGACAGAACACATATTGAACGACACTCTAAAATAACTGTTCATTCATGCTAACGGAAATGATTGACATAAGTTATGAAGTTGACAGACGTGAACAATAAACCGACAGTCTACATATAGTTTGAGAATGTAACAATTGGAGAATGACATACCACCAACAGTTATTTTAGATTGTCATTCGATGTGTTCTGTCATTCGGTTATGAAATTTGTCAAATAGTTATGTAACAATGTCTCAACGGATACGTGAAAAGGTGTATTACAACAGTGTAATTAACATATTTCAAGCCACTTTATTTCTAGTCTTGTTCTCTCCCGGAGCTTCTGCCCCATGTACCAAACCTGTGTCTATAGTGTCTTAACTGTCCAATTGCTGGAAGATCTTCATAGACAACTCCAGTTATTATTCAGTTTTGTTGACATTATCTCAATACCAATAAATTTTACACACTTTCAGTCCCTAACAGCTGCATGTATCGAGCTGTATGTTGAGTTGTCCTTGATGAGGCTTTACAGTTATCACTCTACTTTGTGAGTGTGGGAAGGCTTATAACAGACACACCACACTAAATATTAAGACCAACAAATTTTTATATTTGACAGCAGCAAATTTTTTTTTCTTTAGAGGTGCAAGACACTGATTTAAAACAATTGGAAAAGACTTGTACTTTAACAAAACAAATTTACTCTATAAACGCTACAGAAAAGACTAATATTTAATACATTTCTACAAAATTTTATTAGAGTCAATTTAACTAATTGAGACGTAAAGGATATTTTTATTGGTTGGTTGAGCCACACCTGTTCTTCTTTCTTACGCTCCTCTTCTTCCTTCTCCTTCCTCTGCTTTTCTTCCCATTCTTTCTTAATCAGAGCCTGCAACACAAAAATATGTCAATCATAAAAATAATTCAACACTAAGAATACAACAATGATGTATGTTAACTCACCTGCTTAAAAAAACACCTCACCATGCTTGGAAGACACACACCAAACTCTACTGTATATCTCTCACAAGTGTCATCTGAGAGAAGAATTCAACTTCAACACAAAAGTACGTACCACTCCACTGTACTGTACGAGGTTATGATCAGACTACTGGACAAACTCTGGACAGATTGAGAACTAATCCTGATGAAATCCACATGGTGTACTCTTTGACCACTGGGCAACGGGTAACACTATACTCATTCTTTTGTCACGTAACAGCTGATGAAGAACAATTAGTGTGAATGGAGGGAAGCAAGTGTGTGTTAAATGTGGTGTTATTATTTTCTGAGGCTGAACATAAACAAATGGCTGGCATTAACAAGAAACAACTGTATCTTAGCAGTCAACCAACTGACTGTAGCTTCCCTTACTCAATATTAACTGATTATCTAGATTAAGAGTCTCATGAAGTTTAGAAACAGGAGCACCTCCCACTCCATCTGGGAATCACCCTCAACAGTCATCCTAATTCTGTTGGTTGTAGCACTTGTGAGTACGTTACTCCCCCCCCCCACAATTAAAATGTTCTTAAATCTTCCTTTTTCACACCTCAGTGACCCTGAGTTTTTACTGTTCCTTAATCAGTGTCAATGTCCCCACAATAATGATACTAGTGTCATTCCCTTAGATGTGCTAGATAGTATGTGTTACACCACATTTACCCATGGTGTCGACACAATACTCCCTCATATCGTTCCTGATGTCTTTCTACAAAACTCACTGGGTTACACCAACCCAAACTGTAACTATTACTTTCCTGACTCCCCCGAGTTTAGTTCTAGTCTCCTACTACCTCATTCCTTCTCCTTGATTAGCCATAACATCAGCAGTATTCCCCTTCATCTAGATACCTTTTTAGATCAGTGTTTATCTTCTATTGCCCACAAATTTGATGTACTTGGATTCTGTGAGACCAAACTCACTGACGATACTGACCATTTGTATAACATTCCTAATTATAATAGACACTGCGTCAACACGTCACAACACAGTGGTGGTGTCGCCCTATATGTTGATATCAAGTATAACACTTCTGCAAGAGATGATTTAAAGGTTCAGGAGGAGTACATGGAGTGTGTTTTCATTGAATTACGTAACGACACACGAAATATCCTAGTAGGGATAATCTACAGAAGACCCCACACTTATGTAAGGAATTTTCTTGATAAATTTTTGGAGCTTATCTCAATCATAAGTTCAGAGAGGAAAGACTGCTACAACACAGGAGATTTCAACCTTGATCTATTAAAATCAGAAACCGACACCTCAGTATTAGACCTTCTTGCTACCTGTCATTCTAAACTCTTCTTCAACACTATAACCAAACCCACTAGAGTAACTGCCACCTCTGCCACTGTGATAGATCATATCTGGACTAACAACACTCCTAACAACCTAGCAAGTGGAATTATTTATAACAATATCTCAGATCACTTCCCAGTTTTTGCCATGTATAAAACAGCCACAAGACCTGAAAGGGCTAGTAGAGTCTCAATTCAATACAGAGACTACTGCGCCGACAACATGCTCCTTTTTGAAAACAACCTAATGAATGCTAACTGGGATCTTGTCTATACCTCCAACAACCCTAACGTGAACAGCTGTAACTTCTCTAGCATCTTCAATGCTTGCTTTGATAAAAGCTTCCCACTCAAGACTAAGTCAGAGAAAACTGTATCCATTTCCAAACCCTCTATCACAAGTGAAATTAAGATAATGATAAAGGAAAAACACAAACTCCAAAGGAAATTTGCAAAAAGACCCATAACTTTCGGTGATGCTTACCGAAGTATCAGAAATAGTGTAACTCAAGCAGTTAGAAATACCAGACATAACTATTATACAAATAAGCTCCAGTCAGCATCAGGCGACAGTAAGAAAACCTGGAATGTCATAAATTCTATTCAGAACAGGAACGCTCAGCCTTCGGACCCCCACTCAGCTTTTATGATAAACGATTCAGTTATTACGGAACCCTCCCTCATTGCCAACCACTTCAATGAATATTTTATTAATGTTGGCAAAAATCTTGTAGAGAGCATCCGTGATCACCATGAGGAATTTAGAGCCTACCTGCAAAACAGAAAGCAAAATGAACTATTCTTCTCCCCTGTCACAGCAGATGAATTACTGGCCATCATAAAAATGTCCAAAGATGCAGCAGAAGGCAAAGACAATATACCAATGAGCATCATTAAAAAAGTGGCCCACTTATTACTACCTGTTCTCCTCCACATTTGTAACTCCTCCTTCACTAGTGGTGTCTTTCCTGATAAACTGAAAATTGCTAAAGTCCACCCGGTATATAAAAAATCTGGGGACAAAGGTCTCTTCAAGAAATACCGCCCCATATCAGTCCTCCCAGCCTTGAGTAAGATACTGGAAAAGCTAGCATGTAATAGAATAAATTCCTTCTGCAATGCCAATGACATCTTTACAGACTCCCAGTTTGGATTTAGAGCTAGAAGGTCGACTGAGAGTGCTCTGCTATCCTTTACTAATGACATCTTAAATTCCTTTGATGACAGTCAGTTCACAGTCGGTATATTCTTGGACCTCTCTAAAGCCTTCGATACTGTCAACCATACCATCCTCCTTTAAAAGCTTGAACATTACGGCATTAGGGGCCTGTCCCACAATTGGTTTACCTCATATCTGTCCAACAGGATGCAGTATGTCTGTTATAATGACCACCAATCTGACTCCTCGCCAATCTTGTATGGAGTCCCCCAAGGTTCAATTCTCGGTCCAGTACTGTTTTTGTTGTACATAAACGACATAGTCCACGCCAGCTCACTCATAAAATACAACTTATTTGCAGACGATAGTAATCTTTATGCCAGCAACTCAGACCTCCATTCCTTGATGAGAACTATGAACACTGAATTAACTAAAGTGGGGACCTGGGTAATACGTAATAAACTGACCCTAAATCTTGAGAAAACCCACTACACGATCTTTCACAGAAGAAAATACTTACCTCCAGACTTGAACCCCCTGTACCTTGGTAATATAGTCCTCAAATGCGAACAAAATACTAAATTCCTCGGAGTTATTGTTGATGAGAAACTTAACTGGCGAAACCACATACAAGCCATTCACAGTAAAATCAATAAACAGTGCGGTATCATGTGTCACACTCGACAGTCACTCACTCTCACAGCAATGAAAGAAATTTATCATGATCTTGTTTACCAACACCTGATACACTGTCACACACTATGGGGGGCCTGTGGCTCTTCAAAAACACAATCTCTGGTTACTGCACAAAAGAGAGTTGTACGGATAATGACCTACTTGAAAAAAAAAGATCACACAAATGAAATATTTGCTATACTGTATTGAAATTTTTAAAATTCGAAGATATTAACACTTACTGCTGTGCCCTCTTTGTTTACAAATCTATCAATCACTTGCTTGACAATAATTACTTCCAGTTCCGGAATAATCAGAGATACAACTTAAGCCACCCAGAGCTACTAAGACCACCCTCATGCGCTCCTCTCAGTCCCAGACCTTCCTTTAAATCATCTCTAAATAAATATCTACCGAAGTATTAATATTTGTAACATGCTTACTTACTATATTTACAGTACCTGCTTTTATTGTACCACCAAATCCGTTTTATGGAGGTATCATGTAAATAAATAAGTAATTACCATTTGCAATAAACATAATTGCCAACTAGACATAATCCTGAAGCTCTGTCCTCTTGTTCAACCTTATTACTGCACAACCCAGGTTGTACTGCTCCCCATTATACTTATGTTTTAAAATTCCTCTAATTTATATATATATATATATATATATATACTATATATATATATATATATATATATATATATATATATATATATATATATATACATATATTTCATGTAAATCCACAATAATGTATATATGTATATGTATGTGTATATGTATGTATAAATAAATAAATAAGTAAATAAAAATAATAAATAATAAAATAAATAAATATTGAAGTGATAACGTGTGGTAACATTATGAGATGTTCTTATTACTACCATGCTATTGTACTATTCCAGATGATACTAAATGTTTATAATACTTCCTTGAGATAAATGTATAGTATATATCAGGTGCCTCAAAGAGAGCTCAGGTTCTCAACTGGCTCAGCCATGTTAATATTGTTATTTCTATCCACTCTGTATCTGTGTTTCTCTGGCTTAATAAAATATTTCAATGTTTCAATTCAAACCTCATGATTAAACCTTCTGTTAACCAGACCAAACCTAACCTAACCTAATCTAATCTAATCTTACCAACTCAAACCTATTGCGGAAGCATTAGGGTGGTTAATCTTCAATTAAACATACTAGGGTGTCTAATCTTCAGGTGAAATAAACTTGGGTGTCCATTTGTCAGGTGATCATACAAAAAGAGCAACAACACAGTATAGATGAGGTGTAGGTCACCACCTCTTGTTTCTCCAGCTGTTCTTGTTGTTGAAGGCGCCTCTGCTTCTCCCCAAGGAACATGGAGTGCAGGGCAGTATCACGCAACTGCCACTCTTCTCTTCTCCTGGCTGTCTCCTCCTCCTCCATCCTCCGAGCCTCTTCTTCCTAGCCTCTATTCTCTCCAGCTCCGCCACAAACACAGGGTCTCGTAACAAGGCTTCTCGTTCTGTACAATGTAAAACACGATAATGCTGCAATAACATGATGGTATCTAATATTTCAACATTAGAAAACTTACTGAATATAATTTTTTTTTTACATAAATGCTCACAAAAAGAGTTGGTGTCCTTTTCAGTGATGTAGTTAAGACAGACCCAGACCACAGACAAGACCATTGATTATTTTAGTGTTCATGGATCACCTGGAGATTTGAACCCCCAAGTGCTCCTGAAAGGCCTCCCTTCTAGTTTAACAAGCCTGAAGTTTAGTCGCCCTGAGACAATCTGGGTGGGTTAGAGGGGTGGGAGCTCATCTTCAGGTGATTCGTGAAGATTAAAGTGAATAATGGTCTCCTTTTTGGTCTCGGGATCAGTCTAAACTACACAATTAGTATTTATACTTAAACCAGTTGAGAGAAAGTTATAGCTATCACACAGTTCTGATCTTGGTACAAACATTTTATTGTTAATGTTATCATCATCATCACCATTACATTTTTAGGCACATTTTCCACTTTTGTTAGCCATGAGTACCTGATGGCATGGTCTCCTGGTTGCCATCATGCACACCACTTATACACCCAGAACAAGAGTCGAGTTAGAGCCTGGACAGAGCAGATGTAGTAGATAAATGTACAAAGTCGTACCTTCCTGGAGTTTTATTTCTCTCTCTTGGGCATTGCGCTGACGAACTCTCTCGCCGCCTCTCTCGTCGTACTAGTCTCCTACATGACTGATGACTGAAATATAATGGAAAAGTTGTTTTAGTCAAAGAAACATTAAATTATATTACCGAACAACATATATCTGAACAAACATATTCAAGAGTTAAGTCACTAAGTACTGTATATTGAAAACATTAAGTTTCTAAACGAATTTATCGCTGGATACTAAATCTTCATTTATAATTTCCAACCAGGCGAATAATCAGCAAGAAATCAAGACATGGATAGATCATGAAAAACGAAGAATGAAATTTTTCTTTATTCATGATTCCAATATGGCTGCTTAAAAACCCTGTGTGTAACACTATGTATTTCTGACGATGGCAGTCTCGAAGGGGAGGTAAGAATACTTGGTAATAGTTCTTCGGTCTCATTACAAAATAAAATTACAGTTAAAAATCTGCAACAAAATATTATGGTGAATATGCAGTTTGGGTAACTTCAATACTTCATAGTTTGGATATTAACTCATAAAATTAATTGACAATACTCTTGTGGTCAGGGGCGATTCTCGGGGGGACCAGGGGGGGCCATGGCCCCCTCAGATCTTGGGTTGGCTCTCTGGTTGTTCCCCACTTTATATTCTCAAAATTGTAATTCCAAAAACATTCCCAAAACCAGGAAGTGAGTCAAGTGTCTCATGTACTGGGCGAGCCGCATGCCAGATGCAGGCATGGGTGGTGGTGGTGAGGTGAGATCGGTGAGGTGAGGCCGGAGGCGAGGTGGAAGGGTGCAGATATGCGGGGTGGGGTCACATCACAGTGTATATAAACAAACTGCCTTGTCGGTGATGAACATTACCACTCTGTATTTCCACTGAGGAGGGTGACAGACTGACAGTAATTGTCGAATTGTCGCCAGAAACTACCCAGGAGAAATATTCGTCTGCCACAGTGCCACTGTGGGTTTTTTTACTTGCTAAGTGAGGTATGTTTAGAGAACATGTGAGTAATTTTTAACTATAGGAGTAATATACAATCAGTCAATCTCAATCATTCAGTTCAAGTGGCTGTAGTTGAGCTGAGCTGTACAGTATAAGGTAAATCAGTACAGTCCATCAGTTATATCATTACAAATGTAGGCCTAAAAGCATTCTCATGACATATTATATGTCATAAGAATATATAATTAATATGTCATGAGAATGCTTTAGGCCTACATTTTGTATAATATCTGATGGACTTACTGCTTAACTTCTTGAATGATGAATGACTGACTCCTATAGTTAAAAAATGATCTACAATGTATATTAATAAAATAAGGTACAAGAATTGCATTAAAATAAGAAGCCGAGTGTCAGTTGCATCTCGCCAAGTCACCAGTGATAGGGTAACCTACACACATATTCTGCAATTGTTTATCTGTGATCAGGGATCACTGATCAGTAAGTACTGTATTTGCAAATGACTGAACTTATTATAATTTATAATTCATTGTAATAATGACGCAATTAATATTTAACTAGAGAAGCACGCTAACACGCTTCTATATTATGCTACGACGGATAGGTCGCAGCCTCGCAGGTTACGGAGAGACGTCATGAGAGACATCACTTCACATTTGTCAATCAAATTGGTGTAATAATGCCAAACACTGCATCTTGCAAGTTGTACACAAGTTTGGTTTTGCCCCCCCAACATTTACCTTGGCCCCACTTTCCGAAGGCTAGAAAAGCCATTGCTTGTGGTCCTAGTATATACAACAATATGCAAGAGTTACATTCAGGATATGAAAATACGGTATTATTTTCTTGTAGCACCGTTCATTCCTACCACTAATCTATTATCATATTTGAATAAGACGTCAAATTATAAGATAATTTTCATCTATTACATTACCGGTGGAAATGTATAATAATGGAGATAGCTTTTCCAAATAAATTTATATTTTCTTCCATTATTTCCTGCCATTATCGTCTGCCTCTCACCTAACACTGCGTGTCTCCTTCATAAATCATGACGCGCATGCGTACCCGTACAAGTCATGCGGCCAATCAAAAGCGTTTTTGCTAATTCAGAGTATATTTGGCCCAATCAAAATTGAGTTTTATTTTGGGTCTCTCATATTTTGAAATTCAAGTTCAGTTCCGACCATGGAAGTCTGCGATGGATGTCACTTAAAGTATATGGAGCTGATTGCGAGTTTTTTGAAAAAAAAACAAAACATAAAAACTATAGCATTTTTTTGATCGCATGGTGTTCTTCCAACCTCAGTAAAGTGTACTAAGAGCAAGACTGAATGTAAATATCGCAAAGACCAACATATGTGGCGTTGTGTAAGAATCCCAGAATGCAACGACGAACAAGAACCAGGCCAATAAGGTAAGAAATAGGTGATTCCATCATTTAGTGAAAGTCAGTTAAGTTAGGTCAGGTTAGGTTAGGTTAGGTTAGGTTTGGTTATTGTTTTTCTAGTGTTTTATTGTGTATTTGTTAGTCGCTTAGGCACTTTTTTTTTCTCGGAAAACGTCAAACGAAAAAAAAATCGCAAAAAAACCCTGGCTAATTTCCTCCAAAAAGGAAGGTCATATTCAGTCTCAGCACACACAAATACACTAGAAAAATATATTTTTAACTTGCTACAAGTGAACGGTGCTTCAAGAAAAATTTATCGAAAATACTTTTTTAAATTTCCAAATGCTTACCATATTCTTTTGGTTAATTCAAGTCTCATGTTGGTGCAGTCTTCATGTCACAGGTCCGTGTAGTGTAGCTCCACGGGTCACAGCTCCAAAATCTGTAATTATTGAAATCTTTAACTTTCAATTATATCAATATAAATATTGGATTACATGAAGATTAACCATTTTATTGTTAGTTTTAGAATGTAAATAGAAATAAAATATAACGTCATGCTGTATCTAGGCGTCTCCTTCCTTGCCATTTCTCAAGCATATTACTGCTCTGTTTATGTACAAACTGAACTAATGTGAACTTATAAGATGATTTTAATCCATCCACCTATCCATCCACCTATCCCTCCACCTATCCATCTCCCTATCCATCTACCTCTTGTCTCTGTCGTCTCTTGTAGGTGTTTGTTTACAAGTGGTGCCATTCACATCCTAAGGAATTTATTTGATATTCTGTATTTATTCTACTGGTATTCTAATTATGTAAAAACTTAACAAAAGTAATTAAAAAAAATAAAACAAATGTAATTAATGAGATAAAAAGGTGTTATGAAGATATATATATTAATTATAGTCATTTTCAAATTCACTGCTTAAAGCTTTTTGCGTATTAATAATGTTAAAGATTATTCCCAATAAAGGTGCTAAATTATTTATTTATCTGGCAATATAAACTATATAAGCCTATCATAATTTAATTTAAACTACCATAGGATTGTGTAGTTAGATCAATCGCCTATTATCTACTAAAAATAAGGTTTATTCTTTCTGTTCGTGGTAATGTCTAAAATTATTCATCAATCATTACAACAACTGCATCAATGTTTCGTTTTAACAAAATAATTCACATAACCAAGAGCTATATTTTCCATAATTTTTAATCGTGGATAGACGCACTTAAATACCTTATTCACTGGAGCCTAATACCTTGTAAGGGAAAGTATTAAGGGTGACAGATGTGGCGGGAAAACCAACTAATAATATTGGAACATGATGGGGTGTTTGTGTTTGTTTTATTGGATCTTTATAATACATATAATTAGTGAACAAGGAAAAACAGATATACAATTTTATAAACACAATTTTTACATTTATATCGTTATGGTCAATATTATGAATTTTTTTAAGAGACTTTACCCTGTTTCCTGACATGAGATAATACCCGTTCAAGTGGCGGATGTGTTTAACCATAAGAAAGGCTGCTACTGATAAGGTGAGCTCATTTAAGATAGTTTACTCAACTTTTTAGTTATTGTATAAGTGAATTTTCGTCTGATCAGATTATGTTGTCGAGTATCTGGGCTATAATTAAACAACTTAATGGATGGAACCAAAATCTGGGAAGACATCGTCACCAAACTTCTCGCGAATTATTAATAAGTAACGACATACAGTATAAGATCATTTATTTGGTAAATTTATTCAAGTTTTAGACGTTATCTCTTTATCAGACTCACGTGTTTTGCGTCAGCGTTTATAAATAAAATGCATTCTACGGCACACCAATCATGAGGGCCAGATTCAGGGGTGGGCAGAGTGGGCAGCTGCCCTGGGGCCTCCACGTATCAGGGCTGGTCGACCTGAAGCACATGAATGACTCCAGTCATGTCTCACTTTTGTGTGTGTGTGTGTTGGGAATTTGTACACTATCAATAAATATACAGTTAATTAAAAATTTCTCAATGTTCTAGTTTCCTCAATATAACTGCATATGGCTTCAAAATTCTCCAAAGAAGTGTTCAAATTTCAAAATTTTCCCGGGGGCCTTACAGCGCCCCCCGGAACTCCCAGATGTTTAGGCTCGCTTCACTCGCCACCCCACCCTCTTGGGGAGTTATAATGAGGGGGCCTCCACAAAGAGGCTGCCCATGGGCTTCCACAGGTCTAAATCCGGCACTGCCAATCATACGACCTAAAATGCATCAGTAAGGCGACAAGCAGACTTACGAACGATACCACATGACGGGGGAGAGGGGCTGATGTAACTACCCCTTATAATAAGATAATACAAGATTCTGTTCTCGTGAATGTTTCCTTATATTAAAAAAAAACAACAAATTTCTATTTAAAATTGAGTAGAGATGAACCTAAGTAAACAAAACCGAACCTAACCAAACCAAACTTAACTAAATTTAAACTAACGAAACCTGACTAAGACAAACCAAAGCAAAGGAAACCTATCCCGACCGAAAGAAAAAAAGAAAATCTAACTAAACCAAATCAAACTTGACCTAACCAAACCTAACCTAACCTAACCAATCCCAACCAAACCTAACCAAACCTAACCTAACCTAACCAATCCTAACCAAACCTAACCTAACCTAACCATTTATAGTGTTAGGGTGTTTAATCATCAGGTGAGATAAGTTTGGGGGTGTTAATCTTCAGGTGATCGCTACCGTGTGTTGAGGATAGCAAGGTGTAGAGTGCCTGGGCCAACTGTCGTGTTGAGAATAGTACAATGATTAATTTCTTCCTCCATTACCTTTAAATAGATAGATAGAGTATAATAAATTGATAGATAGAGAAATAGATAGATAGAGAGTATAAGAAATTGATGGATTGATAGATAGACAGATAATCAAGGCAAAGAGAATGACGAAAGAGAAACACACACACACACACACACACACACACACACACACACACACACACACACACACACACACACACACACACACACACACACACACACAAACACACACACACACACACACACACAGCGACATTTTCTTTTTGCTTCACTGATTTAAAAACCCATTAACATTATCTCGCTAAGATAACTCCGGGAGACACAAAGCTATCTTTTAAATCTCTCCTCTCTCTCTCTCTCTCCTCTCTCTCTCTCAGAAGAAAAACACGATCTGAACAGCATCAGCCCCAGCCATCCCCAGCCCCACCAGCCCCCCCAGCCCCCAGCCCCCCAGCCCCCCCCCCCCCCCCAGCCCAGCCCCCCCAGCCCCACAACTGACGTATCTCAAGAGTTAGTGTAAACTTTTTCTCCGCCGTCTTGTACTTTCTTGATTTGGGTGACCAGTTGCTGTTAAGGTTAGGTGAACAGCAGTGGCACAGCAGCGGCACTAGAACCAGGACAGCAGCGCACAGAACGGACAGCAGAGACACTAGAACCAGGGCAGCAGAACCTAGGAACCAGCAGCGGCACTAGAACCAGGACAGCAGCGGCACTAGAACCAGGACAGCAGCGGCACTAGAACCAGGACAGCAGCGGCACTAGAACCAGGACAGCAGCGGAACTAGAACCAGGGCGGCAGCGACTAGAACCAGGGCGGCAGCGGCACTAGACCCAGTACAGCAGCGGCACTAGAACCAGGGCGGTAGCGGCACTAGAACCAGGGTGGCAGCGGCACTATAGAAGCATCAGGAACAGCAGTAGTACAGTAAAACAGCAGTACCACAGCAAGAATGTAAATAGAACAGCAGTGTGCAAAAGCAACAGCAGTAGGCTAGGACAACAGGAACAGCAGCAGGACAACAATAACAGCGGTAGGACAGCAAGAACAGCAGGAACCAGCAGCAGGACAACAAAAACAGCAAGAACCAGCAGCAGTAGGACAGCAAGAACCAGCAGCAGTAGGACAGCAGGAAACAGCAGCAATAGAACAGCAGGAAACAGCAGCAGCAGCAGTAGGACAGCATGAAATAGCAGTAGCAGTAGGACAGCAGGAACCAGCAGGAGCAGCAACAGGAACCAGCAGCAGCAGCAGCAGACAGCAGGAACCAGCAGCAGTAGGACAGCAGGAACCAGCAGCAGCAGGACAGCAGAAACCAGCAGCAGCGGGAACCAGCAGCAGGACAGCAGGAACCAGCAGCAGCAGCAGCAGGACAGCAGGAACCAGCAGCAGCAGGACAGCAGGAACCAGCAGCAGCAGGACAGCAGGAACCAGCAGCAGCAGGGACAGCAGGAACCAGCAGCAGGACAGCAGGCAACAATGGGCGGGTTACTGGTAATTCTAAAATGCATCAAGAGGCCAACAACAGAAGTTCACCTGCAGGCATCTGTTTCACTTCCTGCGGTAGCTCCACCCTAATGGCCACAGCTGATGGACTTCCGTGGCCCTCACCACCCCCACCCTGCCCCGCCCTGCCGCCCCTGCCACGCCCCGTACCTGTCCCGACACGCCCCGTACTGGACCTGTCCTGTTTTCTCCTACCCCGTACATGTTTCACCCCGCCCCGCTCCGCACTCTTGCCCTAATTACCTGTCATATTTTCTTCCCCCACGCGGTCCTGCCCCGTAATCGCCCCATCTCACCCCACTCATCGCCCCAAAGTGTTACCTGGATCTGCTACCCCAACTTTACCTCACCCCGCCCCGCTCCACCTCTCCTCGCCCCACCCCTCTCGGCCACCCCCCCCCCCCTTGCCCTGCCCCGCCCCGCCCCGCCCCGCCTCACACCGCTAATGTTAATGCAGCCAACCATTATTGGTATTCCCGGTTATATCATATATTGTGTTGCTCAAGTCCGCGGAATATATTCACTCATAATATTGATGTACATGTATGTATGTATGTATGTGTGTATATATGTATGTATGTATGTATGTATGTGTGTATGTATGTATGTATGTATGTATGTATGTATGTATGTATGTATGTATGTATGTGTGTATGTATGTATGTATGTATGTATGTATGTGTGTATGTATGTATGTATGTATGTATGTATGTATGTATGTATGTATGTATGTATGTGTGTATGTATGTATGTATGTATGTATGTATGTATGTATGTATGTATGTATGTAGACGTTGATTACAATACAAGGAGATGTAGAGTTACTGGTTGTTGTTGTTGTTGTTGTTGTTGTTAGTGCTGCGATGGTCAAGATGTCTCAGGCGTCGTTCTCTTAAGCCTTTTTAGAAGTCTTTAAGAAGCACAGCCGTTCATTAAGACTTATTTCCTGGGGATCTTTAAGCCTCGTTCATTAAGTCACTATGCAACAACTTTTAAGAAATAATCTGTTTCTTCATTTGTTATTTATCGACTTTCTCATTCATTAATTCTATCCTGATGTGTGTGTGTTTCTCTCTCTCTCTCTCTCTCTCTCTCTCTCTCTCTCTCTCTCTTTATCACTATTGTGCGTTTCTCTTGTTTTATCACATTCTCTCTTATTCCATTATACGTACACACTTTTGTTTACTATTCCCTTGTTCTTCAGGAAATAGGTATGTGCGGTTAGGGAGGTATAAGGTGCGGTTATCTAGGTATGAGGTGCGGTTATCTAGGTATGAGGTGCGGTTATCTAGGTATGAGGTGCGGTTATCAAGATATGAGGTGCGGTTAGCAAGATATGAGGTGCCGTTATCAAGATATGAGGTGCGGTTATAAAGATATGAGGTGCGGTTATCAAGATATGAGGTGCGGTTATCAAGATATGAGGTGCGGTTATCAAGATATGAGG